GGAGTACTTAATTAAGCAAATTCATTTATCAATAATAAAACTATTTACCGTCCACTTACCATAGTGAGATTTATAAAAACAATCCATAAAAATAATAACATTATACATATCATGATTTCATATATAGTCGGCAACATACCCCATATTATACATTCATATTCAAATAATCAAACAACAATTTTTTCTTTTTATCAACCGGCTGGTATCCATGGGGGTTCATAGGGATGTCCCCACTACGTGTGAACCCTTTCCTTTAACATTCTCAATTGTGAGCCATGTCCATACCCCGTCCAGTATGAGCGCCAAACCACTAAACCTCATACTCCGTCCGGTATGAGGGTGAAACGGGTCGTCGCCATATCCCGTCCGGTATGAGCGCCAAATTACCAAGTCTCGGTACCCCATCCGGTATAAGACAACGTTCACGGTAGGGTTCGTTATTGTACCCGGTCTGTCCACCATCTCCCAGGATATCCAATAAGCCTGTCGTTTCATCCATTCACTTAATTACACAATTTTCTCATTTTCCTTTAGTATCAATTTTTTAAATCAACCGTAATCACATAAACAAACAAACATACATCAGGGAATGCAATCATATCTCGATTTTCTAATTTAACAGTAGTCACGTAAAGCAGCAATACATACATTTAAACCATAAAAGCAATAAATCAAATACTATAATGCATTTAAACTGTAAAATAAATCAACAGAAATCAATAGAGAATAATTTCTGGTTCTACCTCCATTAGTAATCTGTAATTAATTATAGATATTTTTTAAGTTTCACGAAATATCATATTATTTAAAATTAAACTTCAATTCCATAATAGAGGATAGGGTGAAGGATTCTTACTCAATTTGATACCCAAAACGCTAAACTGTTGACTGTGCCTACGGACGGTCCCCGGGTTCTTTGAATTTTTCTTCAAAAATTAAAACGCGCTACAAGTATCTACAAATGTCCCAAAAAAATCTAAAATCAACCTTAGGGTCCATTTTTGGAAAATTCTGAAATTCTAGCACTGCAGTTCTGCCGCCCACGGCTGCAGTCCGCCTCAGATCGGCTGTTTTCGGCCGATTTTGTATCAATCTCTGTGAGAAAATACGTTAAGGGGCCTCAATTGGCCGAAAAAATACAAAAAACTGAAACTCACCGGAGGCGGGGCTCTTCGGTGCAATGGCTCCTCCGTCTCACGTTGTAGTTGGGTGTTTTACTTTGGTTAATCTGTAGAGAAGGAAACAGTAATCATAAAGGTGGAAAAATTACGTCGAACGAGAATTGAGAAGGGCCTCATCGGAGGCATTTTGTGAAATTTCCCGCTGCTGTGCCGCTATGTAGCACCCGGAAAGGAGGAGGAAAAATAAAATAAAAAAAAAAAAAAAAAAAAAAAAAAAAAAAAAAAAAAAAAAAAAAAGGGGGGGGGGCCACGTCAGCAGCCACGTCAGCAGGCCCGGTCAGCAGTCCCGGCCAACCAGGGCCTGCCACGTGGCAAGATCGCGTCACTCCGAAAGGAGCCACGTTGGCGATCCGCGTGGGTGCGATCCGACGGCCCAGATCAATCGCGCGATCGGACGGCCCAGATTCAAACGCACGGACGGCCCAGATTCAATCAAAAACGAACGGCCCAGATTAAAACGAAATGAACGGCTGTGATCAAAAGGCAAGAAGTTATAAATAGAACCCCCACACCAGACCACAAACCCTAACCGCCAGCCGCTCGCCGGAGAAGACGAACCAGAGGCCGACCGCCGCCACCCGCCGCCACTCGCCGCCGCACCAGGGAAATTTCCGACCGCCGATCGAGGTAAATTTCATACCCTCGACTCGTTTTTCCACGCTGATTTCCTTAGTGGCCAAATCGAAGCCGAAATCCCGGCCAAACGGCCGGAATACGCGGCCGAAGCCCAGCGGCGCCGCCGCGCCCCCTCTCGGTTTTTGCCTCCGACGAGGCCCTTCCCGGCCTCCGTTCGATGCAATTTTTATATCACCGTGATCACCATTCTTTTCTCTACAGGTTGACCGAAGCCAAATCACCAAAACACGAACCTCGCCGGAGGGTCGCCGTACCCGAGAGCGCCGCCGCCGGTAAGCTCCGCTTTTCCGTGATTTTTTGGCCCCCCGAGGGCCCTAGGGTTGTTTTCTGACAAGGACCAATGCGAGTGTGGCCGAATTCGGCCAAAAAACGGCCGAAAACAGTCAACCCGAGGCGACTCGCCGCCGCCAGCGGCGGCGCCGTCGCCGGAGCACGGCGGAGCCGCCGTGCCGGAGTTGCGATTTGGGCCGAAAGAGGCCCTGGGCCTAATTTGGATTTTTTTTGGAACACGTGCAGTTACTGTTAGTGTGTTTCAGTTCCCCGGGAAAAATTCAGGGAAAATTAGGGACAGCCTGCAGGCGCACTGTGAATCGTATTCGGATCCCGAAAACAAGTAAGGACCCCTCACCCTATTTCCTATCACGGTATTAAAGTTCAAAATGATAAAACAGTATTTCTTGAATTAACGCATGTGTGAAATTGCTTAAGGTTGCTAATGGAGCCCGAGTCTAGTGTGATTGATGATTTACTGTTATTTGGCCTGTTTACAGCTTTAAATGCAAAATGAGGTTTGATGTGTTCATTTTACAGATTTGTGTGCATGTACTACGTTTTTTTTAATTATGGGTTGAATGACTGAAAAACTGATACTGTATGTTGTCTGTTTGGTATGAATTACGATTTGCTTGTTTAAATGTGAATTGATGATGCTGATTGAGGAAAAGGAAAAATGAAAGATTGTGTAGACTGATAATTGTATTATGAGGGTCAGCCTGACTAGATATCCTGGGAGATGGTGGACGGACCGGGTCCGTAGGGAACCCTACCGGGATTGTGGTCTCACATGCCGGACGGGGTATGGAGATCTTATGGTTTTGGCGCCCATACCGGACGGGGTATGGGGACGGCCCGTTTCACCCTCATACCGGACGGGGTATTGAGGTTTATGGTTTTGGCGCCCATACCGGACGGGGTATGGGGACGGCCCGTTTCACCCTCATACCGGACGGGGTATTGAGGTTCATGGTTTTGGCGCCCATACCGGACGGGGTATGGGGACGGCCCTGGAAACTGATTATGAATGTTAAAGGTTAACGGGTAGCGAAACCCCTATGGACCCCCACGGATACTAGTAGGCTGGTAAATGAGAAAAAGGATATGTTGTACAATGATTGAATTACAAGAGGCGTGATAAGTGTTATGTTTTACAGCTTAGATTATTCAATGATTATGATAATGTTATTGTTTTTCTCATATTGTTTTCATAAATTCCACCAAGGTAAGTGGATGGTAAAAGTTTTATTATTGATGAAAGGTTTTGTTGTTAATAAACGAGTTTATTGTAAATTATGCTCCATTGGTCTTTTTGTGGTTTTCTACCCACCTTTATCTCCGTGACGGTGAGATATCGTGATGTTCTTACTGGGCTAGTGTAGCTCACTCCTTAATTAACCATTTCAGATCAGGAAGACATGGTTCCCGAGCCCGTTCCGCAGGAGGACGACGAAGGGGATGCCTAGAGACTCTGTAGTCATACGCATAGTTTATTTTCGAGTTTTCTTTCTTAGTTAGTTTAACCTTTTATATTTTAAGTACGTTTGTTTGGTTTTTCGTGTAAGGGATGTTAACTGAAATTTTGATCTCGCTTCCGCATTTGATATATTTAAATACTCATTTCATTTTAATATTTTCCGGGGCCGTTACACGCTAGGCTTTGCCCACAGTTTCCAGTCAATCAACCGGTCCTTTTGCTCCGATTTCGCCATGAAGGTGTTTAAGATTTTTACCTTTTTTGACAGTCGAAAAGGGCTTCGGTGTGGCGGCGGGTGGCAGCGGCTCTCCTTCCCAGTGGCTGGGTCTTCTTCTCCGGCGAGGGCGACTGGCGGCTAGGGTTAGGGTTTGGTGTGAAAAGAGTTATTTATACTCGTCTCCTTTTAATCTAGGCCGTCCATCGCATTTGAGCTGGACTGTCAAATCATGATTAAATAGAGAGTGAATCTGGATCATTCATCACGATCCAATCTGGGTCATTCATCACGATCTAATCTGAACCATCCAATCGCGTTTAAATCTGACCGTCCGATCGCGTTTGGGGAGGGAACACATCCGGGTCATTCGTGCGGGTCGCCTGTGTGGCCTCCGCCGTTGCACCGCGTTAGCACCAGTTGCCGCGCGACGCGTCCTGGTTTGTCGGGGATGTTGACCGGACATCCTACGTAGTAAAACTTTTTTAAATTATATTTCGACCATCCGATTTCTGATTTTTCTTTAAAAAATACTCTCATAACTCAAATTTTAACCATTTTTCTCCAAAA